AACTTACTGATAAAACGGTGAGATTTCTGGACAATTCATGAGGATATAAGTATGTGCAATTTGCAATTCCCCACCCACGATGTATCGTTGTGTCGCAGCACCTTTACCTCTGCCTGGGTAATTGAAGATGGAAACTACATTTTCATATAAATCCTCGCCAATGTCATCGTTCCGGGCAGGTCTCTTCCTTCTGGTGATGACGTCACGCTCGAAGTAAAAAGACGAGAACGTTGAGATTTCTTGTTGAAGATACGCTTGACAAATTGAAGCCTCAACGTGTGCCTTGTTGGTCACTTTCTTTTTCAGCTCTCCTAGAAATCTGCAATAATGCAATATAACAACGGTACACATGTTAACAGTTATTGTGAAATAAATATTCTTTTTTTAAATGAAATTGTTACTAACCTTTCAAATCTGTACATCCAGCGATAGAAGACGGGCCCAGCAGTCAAAGCCTCATACGGAAGATGTATTATAAGATGTTCCATTGTATCGAAAAACGATGGAGGCATTATTTTTTCTAGATTACACATCAGAATGGGAACAGAATCTTGTAGTCTTCGGAGGGATGCCGCATCCAAAACGCTGGAACATATCGATTGAAACAACAAACTGATTTCAGTAATGCAGGACCATACGTGTTCAGGAAGCATCTCTTTTAGTGCAATTGGTAGAAGTCTTTGCATTATTACATGAGCATCGTGAGTTTTCATGCTCGTCGTCGTGGTAAGTTTGTTCATGTCTACGCATCTAGACAAGTTGGAGCAGTAGCCATCTGGAAACTTCTGAGACGCAAGCCATTGTAATATTGCTGCCTTTTGTGGTTCTGTGACCTGGTAGACTGCTTTTGGAACTTCCTTGCCCTGATATTCTAGATCAACAGAAAGTTCGGGTCTATCACACCAAATAGTCATATCTTTCCTAGCTGCAAGACCGTCTTTAGTTTTGCCTTTCAAATCCATCACTGTGTTAAATATATTGTCAAAGACGTTCTTCTCAGTGTGCATGACATCTAAATTGTGACGGATGAGAAGGTCTTTCCAATAAGGCAACTCCCAGAATATGCTCCTCTTTGTCCACTTATGGGTATCACAATACCCATATGGCTCTTGGTTTGGCTCTTCCATAGCCGTAGGAAAACGTCGAACCCGGTTATAAATTTCTTCACCGGTCAATCTCGGGGGTGGGCTCTCTCGTACCGCTCTGCCTCTAATGAAAGACTTCTTGTCCTTTCGATATCGGTGCCTTTCCGGGAGAAACTTGCGGTGACAATCAAAGTAACTTCCTTTTTTGCTGTAACTAAGCCAGTTGGCACCTGATTTCTCCATACATATCGGACATCCCATCAAACCGTGTGTGCTCCATCCCGAAAGCATGCCATAGGCAGGGAAGTCGCTAATGGTCCAAATGATGGCAGCTTTCATGATAAACATTTTATCTGATGAAACATCATAAGTTGGTGTCCCAACGGCCCACAGTTCTTTCATCTCCTCGATAAGGGGTTGGAGATAAATGTCTATCTTTCGCCCAGGATCCTTGGAACCCGGACAAATTAAAGACAAAAATATGAAATGACTTTTCATGCACATGTCGGGAGGGAGATTGTAAGGAGTTAACATGACCGGCCAACATGAATAGTTCTTGCCAAACCTGCCAAAAGGAGCAAATCCATCTGAGCACAATCCCAGCCGCACATTTCGTGGCTCCATAGCAAACTGAGGATGACAGCGGTCAAAGTGTCTCCAGGCTTCACAGTCCGAAGGGTGAGCCATCATACCCTCGTTGGTTTCGTGCTCAACATGCCATGTCATGTGTTTCGCAGTAGCAGTCGAAGTGTACATCCTCTGCAGTCGAGGAGCTATTGGGAGGTAATACAGTTTAGACAGTGCAGACCTATGTCGTGGTTTCTTTTTACCTTGACGAACAGGTTTGTATCTGTCTCCACCACAGAACTTGCAGAACTCAAGTGCCTCATCCTCCTTCCAGAACAACATACATCCTTCCGGACACGCATCAATTTCAACACAAGGTAGCCCCAACTTAGACATTAACTGCTTCATGTGGTAATATGAATCTGGAAGGGTATGATCTCGCGGTAGCATCCCTCCTACTGACTGCAAGACTCTATTCATGCAAGTTTCAGGGAGACTGTATTCGGCTTTTATGTTCATGAATTCAGTAACGGCGGATAGCTGAGAGTATCCCTCACAATCAGCATACAGAGGTTGGTCGGCAGCTTTTAGAACATCCTGAAATCTCTCAGTCAAACCTTCATCCACATAAGGTTGATAAAATGTCGGATTTTCATCCGCATCTGGTTGATACGAGGTTGAGGCTTCAGGGGGGTCGTTAGGTGGTTGTGGGGGATTGAACTGAGACATCGGTACACCGTATGCATCATATACCATTTGTTGGTCCCACCTCATTTCAGCACGGTCTCCCCACGCACTCATCTCTGGAGGGACGTAACGAGACGAACCTACCGTTTGTGGTATAACAGATGGATCCAAAGGTTCGCCGTGAGAAGTCCAATTATAATAATTGGGAACAAAACCGACCGCGTACAAATCATACCCAACTTCGTGTGGGTCTTTAAATTTGAGATTTTTACACTTTGAACATGGACATCTTATTTTATCACCACTCATATAAGCCGGATGTTCAAGTGCAAATTCAATAAATTCCCCGACTCCCTCGAGAAAATTTGATTGCATTCCGTACAATACCGCATCTTTATCATACATCCAACTTCTATTTTGTTTATACATTATGCCTGAATATTATAATAAAAAAGTATACACATTCAAATACTAACAATAATACTAACAAATTTTAAGTGAGTTATTTCACTAAATAATCAACTAACTAATTTTCACTAAATTAAATGAAATGCACACAATTCACAACAATAATTCACAAAATATAAGTAATTACCTAATACTTAAATTTAACTAATATTACAAAAAAATTAAGTAATTTATTAACACTACATTTAAATTAAACATACGTTTAACTAAATTTAACTAATTTATTTAGTTAAATTTAACTAAATTTAACTAGTTCATTCCGTCCTCTTTTAATGCATCACTACGTTTAAACCTACGTTTAGCTAACGAATTTTAATTAAATTATTTTTGTAAACCTACATTTAAACCTAAACTAAATTATTACGTTAATGACATTTAATGTTATTAGTACTACACAATTAACAATTCCAATTCACTAAATTAAATAATATGACCAAATTAAACCCAATAATTTGAACATGTATATAAGGTCATTTGAATTAATAAATAATACACAATTACAATAACAAGTCACAATACACTTAATTAACACATTACTAACGTACGTTTAACTAACTAATTTCAATTAACATAAAGATCACTACGTTTAAAACTACGTTTAGCTAACTAATTTTAATTAAATTATTTTATAAACCTAACAGTTTAACTAATTTTATGACATTACTACGCTTACAGTTGAATATGTTGTTAATTAATTAACAACATCACTAATTTAATAGTTTTAATAATTTAAATTGAACCAACTAATTCTGAATAAAAATAATAATTCAAATAACATACCTTAACTGCATAAATGGGGAAAATGATAGAAGACAGACTACATCCTTCGATCTTTCAAACAGATACTGTATATACTGGGAATGAATTGGTGTGGTTCTGTTGAATGAACTGCTCCTGCATATATAAAAAATTTAGTCACGGACTTAGTCACGGATTTGTCCGTCACTAAGCAATACCGTGTCCATTACGCGTCCGATCCGTGTTAATGACGTGTAAATGACGTGTAAATCAAAGTAGTCACGGACATAGTCACGGACATGTCCGTGACTAAATTTATCCGTACATAATACCGTTGCGGATTGATTTATGGGAGATGCAAAATTATTTTTTAAATTTAGTCACGGCTGTAGTCACGGATGTGGCCGTGACTATGTCGCCGGAGTAAAACAAGCCAGGCCGGAAAATCAAACGGGCAATCGGAGGATGTTAGTCACGGACAAAAATCCGTGACTACGTGTAGTCACGGCTCTAGTCACGGTAAAATCAGTGACTAATTTTTTTTTTAAATTTTCGTGACTAGTCCGTGACTAGTCCGTGACTAGGCTAGTCACGGACCAAATCCGTGACTACGGTCCGTGACTAAACGAGTGTTTTTTTGTAGTGTTACTATTAATTTTAATTATGTATATATATACCTCATTTTTGTTTCAATGCTTAATTTTAGTGATGGACTTCCGGAATCACATGTATAAATCTCCTATATATATTAGAGCATGTTTAATGGTATTATGGATTATACTCCTTAAAAAATGAACATGTCATCTATGTAGAAGGCTTTCAAGCTAATGTGGACAAACACACATTTAAACCCAATGACCATTATTAGTTTATTACTGTTAGTACCCACGTCACCCATTCAAGCTAATATTTCCGTGATTCTTCTTTTAAATTTCTTCTTAAAGGCGTAGCATGAAAAAAGATATCAAGGATTATTTTGTATTGAAAATAGCTACAAGTTTACTTTGGAATAAAAACTAAATCGACCCGATCCATGGTTCCTGGACTCGTTTGCCCAACCCGGGTTGGAAAAATATTCTTAGTCCATCCTGTTTTTAAACGCTATAGTATAGTTTTAGCTGGCTGAAGTGTTAAAAAAATATGGCGTTAATTTTTCCCGCTTTACACGTGTTACATTAGGGTCCACCAAAGGTAACACTTGTTGAACAAATGTAACAGATTATTAAATAATATATCTGCGTTACAATAGCACTATAGTAAATGCAACACTTTTGGTATAAATGTAACACCACCACATTGGAAACTATTACATTAGACCCTTTTTTTGTAACACTTTAGACAAATGTTACAATTTTTTGTTACATTAGGCCTTAAAATGTAGTAGTGACTTTAGGTATTTTGGATGTCATATACTTTATATATAAATAATATTTGTGCCACTCCAAGAGTTAACAAGAAATAGTAGCACGGATTCAAGAGTTATTTCATATACGGATAATGGAGTATATAGCCCTGCACTTCATACAATTTATTTGATTATTCAAAGGACTGCCGTTTTTATCAACTTCCACCGCCCATAATTTCAAATTCCTTGTTAATTCCACTCTAAAGCTGCAACTTATATCAAAGTGGTTGCTGACCTGCCGCCGGCCTTTAGCTCAGAGTTTGGAGTGGCGGCCATGACTATGAAGGTCACTTACGGGCTTACGGCCAGCCAGGGGCGGAACCAGGGGAGCGAGCAAGTGCTGCCGCCCCCGTTCGCCGGAGGTAATAGTGTATATATATCTATGTGTATATGTTCAGCCCCTTCTTAGGAAATACCTAAATACTACACGCTCCTTTTTTGTAACAACAGTCCGAGTTGCACAGATGGTAGAAGTAGGGGCGGATCTAGAAAATTAGACTATTGGGGGCACCAATTAAGTAGAAGTGAGAAAATTTCTAAAACGTACATAGTATAAAATAACTTGGACAGATGGAAAAATCAGATGTTAGAGCATCTCTCATGCTACAATGTGTACGATGCATATGTGACATGAATGATAGTCACGTAAATATTAGCAAATAAATTATCTCTCTCCTTATTTGAATGATTTATATAATTTTGGTAAGTTTTTCCCTGCAATGTCAACTGCAATGTCAATATCTAGACAGTCTTCTTGACATTGTGGAGAAAAACTTACCAAAACTGTATAAAACTATTCAAATAAGGAGCGAAATAATTTATGTACTAATATTTATGTGGCTATTTCTCATGCCACGTGTGCACCGTGCACATTGTAGCATTGAAGATGCTCTTAGCAAACTAGAAAATATATACTCCGTCAATAGAGTGTGAACAAGGATTAAGTTGTTTTATCGTCAGTCATACATCATAAAACGTAATAGGAACTTCTCTATGGGACAGAGGGAGTACATTAGCACTTGAACTTTGTCCCACATCCCCACTTTGTTTGAATGTGGGCAATATTTTTGTTTTATAGGATCGCGTTTTCATTGTTTAATTTATACAAAGAAATTAAGTTTTAAAAATTATACTTCATTTACCCAAAATAATATGTTTAAATACTTACGTTTAATCTGCCCAAACAAGAATCGTAATCAACTAATAAATAAAAAATCAAATTCACACAACTATGTGATTAAGATGTCAACGAAATTTAAAATTCTACGAACTAAATAACACACTCTAAACTCTAAAGTCTAAACACAGAAGATAAATTAAATTTATAATTAAATTCTAAGAATCAAGATATGAAAACTCTAATTAACTAATAAAATCTGAAAACTCTAATTTGGAAACTCTAATTAATTAATCGATATCCGAAAACTCTAATCAATTAAAAAAAATAATGTAAAAGAATACGTAGTATATTAGTAAATTCCTAATAACTAATTACTTAGTTACGAAGTGAAATATGAAAAAGGAGATGGTTAGAAAATTCTAAGATTCAACGTTTTTGCTTGTTCAGTAGGCAACAATAGGTGGATTTCTAAGAGATGCAGACATCTTAATATTCATGCTGCTACCTTAATCCCTATCCATTATTGAGTCTATTGACTATGGAATACCTTGTATGAATTAAATTTAGAAAAAGTGTAACAACTTAAAACTAAAAAAGAATAAACACTATGGACCGTATGACACTATCACCTTATTAGAGCCTTGGAGTCTTGGAATTAACTTAACAATGAGTGAGTGTCTAATATTTTAATGGGGTCCCCCATTATTTTCATTGGGGGCACACTTTGATTTTTAATATTAATGGAGTACATAGTATTAAAAAATTAGAAAGTCATTGGGGGCATGTGCCCCCATTAACAACAACATACGTCTGCCCCTGTAGAAGAATGATTAATGTTTAGGGTGAGGCGCAGGTTTGAGCCCTACTATGTTCTTCTTTTATGGGAAAAAGACTCTAATGAGACTAAAACATGGGCTTGGTATGTGGATAGGACCTCCTACTTTTTAAACCCTAAATAGGACTTATTTGCATCTGGATGGACAAAAATAACCCCAAGCTCTTCTGGACTTATTCAGACGTCTTCGGCTCATTCTGTTGGTGTGTTACTCGTTGGGGTTCCTTGGTGCAAACCTCCCCTGCATCACTGGATTCACTACCGCCATCAAACATTGTCGCCGCCGCCGCCGCACATGTGCCCAGACGCTTGAGCGTTGATTTATCGTTGCCAGAAGACCTTCGACTCTGCGGTGTGTGTCCTCCTCTACGAGATCAATCAAAGCAAAGGAGCAAAATTAAATATTGGAAGTAATGATTTGATGGAGAAGCAAGCAATAATGGCGCAAGGCTCAACTTGCTGCAAGCATAATTTTTATTTCGTGCCTCTTTCTTTGATTTGAGAAGCAAGCAATAATGGCTGCAAGCATAAAACAGCAGATCAAGTTTTACATTCTTTGCTCCTTTCTAATATCTTCTGAAGCCTGATTTAGATTATATGATTTTATTTATGCATTTGTGTACATTTTAATTTGATTAATTTCATAATCCCTCCGTCCCAATATAAAACGCACATTTGCGTTTTAGGGTGAACACTGTTTGACATTGTTTAGAGTAGCGGAAACAAGTCACAATGTCAAGTAATGATTATATGAAAATCAATGTCAATGTTATAAAATGACATTGCAACAATGATAATGTCAATAATGTCATGACAATGTCATGCTATAAAAATGACATTATCAAAACAATATCAATATCATACTGTTATAAACATGGGAAAAAACTAAATACCAACGATAATTTCAATAACATGACAATATCACCTATGTGGTCATATATATTGCAATGGCAATGGCATAACATTATCAATGTCAATGACATAACAAATTAAAGTCAATGACATTGTCATTGAGATACACTATCATCTTATAAATTTACGACATTATCAAGTCATTGTATAAATTGACAATGTGATGTATGTCATTGACTAAAACATATATTGCAATAAAATTAAAATAATGCTGTGACAATGACAATGTTATATACTTATATATAGACAATGTCATTGTCAATGATAATATTCTGACAATGTCAAAGACATAAAAAAGGGCATCTCTATGAAAAATATAAGGATACAGTTTTTTTTTTTTTTTTTAAATTAGTGTCATTTTGTTAACAATGTGATAATGTTAACACAATTTATAAATATGACATTGTTTATTGTGCTGACATTGACACATTGTCATCGTTTAAATTATGACAATGTCATGACATACATTACAATTATATTAATCATTTATCAACACATTGTCATTCTCTAAAAAGGCAATCTAAACTAAATACATAGAACAATAAAAAAAGGCAATCCATACTAACTTGGGATTGTCATTGAGATACACTATCATCTTATAACTTTTGCAACAGTAGTATTTTCCTCCAGCTGCAGGTCCAAAAGTTACGGAGTAGTAAGTAGTAACAAGAAAAGGAAGCAATCATTCGGTATTTTTTTATACAATCACAGCCAAAAGGTTCAAAGGATTACAAAAACATCCTGTAAACTTTCATCTTCAAAATAAAAAGAATTTGGGAATTTCAGCAATTCATCTTCTACAAAAAATTAACATGTAGTAAAAACGATGCTACAGTTGCAGCTTCCTAATAGTTGAAATTAGAGAAGATGATGGTTGAAATTAAAAACAATGCTACAATCCGTTGTTAATACATCATGGATCTGAAATATGGTTGAAATCAGGGCAACGGACAAAAAGAACGAACAAGAACAAACTAAAGATCGGCGTAGCTGATGTGCGACCATGGAACCACCGGAAAGGGAGGAGGACAACCAAATTAAAGAATTCAAAGGAGATGGGCCTCCAACCAGCTGCCGTTGCGGTGTCGCCATCCCATCTCCGCCGAGTTGCCCGATACAACCTAGGCCTTCCGCCGCAGCCACTATGTCGCCATGTCGTCCGGCCGCCGCACTGCCGCTGGCGCGTCGCTGTACCGTCGCTGTACCTTCTACCTCGCGTGAGAATTTGTTGACACTGTCACCAGTGGCGGATCTAGAAAAAATGTTTATTGGGGGCAGAGTGATTAAAGATACTACGCTTATGCGTTATTTTATGTGTCTTGTTTCGATTTGACATAATTATAAATAGGCTAAAGGGTCAAATAGGCCCATGAACTAACTTAAAGTGTTCAATTAGTTCCTTATATAGGAGGTTCTGCCCATCCGTCACCAATTGGGGCGATTCCTGGTGGAATTTATTTGATAATTTTTTAGAATCTTCTTCATTAAGTTTAGTTTACTCATACCAAATTTCAGCTAAAAATTCAACCAGGAAGGCAGTCAAATGATTTTTTGAAGATAACTGTGAAGTTAAACAGCGAAGTACATTTTGGAAAATCATTTGACTGCCTTCTCGGTTGAATTTTTAGCTGAAATTTGGTATGAGTAAACTAGACTTAATGAAGAAGATGCTAAAAAATCTCATCAAAAAATTCCACCGGGAACCGTCCCAATTAGCGACGGCCGGGCAGAACCTCCTATATAAGGTGCTAATTAAACACTTTAAGTAAGTTCAAGGGCCTATTTGAACCTTTAGCCTTATAAATAAAATGATCAAAAGTAAAAGTTGAAGTAGTGTTTTGGGTATAATAAAATGAAATATTGTGGATCTCATATGTCTTTCCAGAAAAAATATTACACTTATTTTGGGACAACTTAAAATGGAAAGTAAGATGTGTATAATGGGACAAAGGGAGTACTAAGTAGAAGTGGTGGAACAAAAGAATAAAAAATACTATAGTATAATTGTGTCGTTAGGATGTTTTTACTTGGACTGAAATTTGTTGGTCTAGTCTGGTCTGATTTGTTTAAGTCTGATCTGGTCTAGTTTGGCAAATGTCTAGTCTCTGTGTATTTTATAAACCTATAAAAGTCCAACTTGATCTGATCTGAGATTGAAAACAGTTAGAGTAAAAACATCCTTACGATCACAAAATTTTGAACAAAATATATCAAAATTGTTTGCATTGAGTTTTCATCTTTTAGAAGATATCCATTGTAATTTTAACATTATATTTAACTATCTACAGTAACATATTATTTACAATCAAAATTTGATTTATTAAATGGAAAGGGGAAAAATAATTAAAATAATCCAAATTTTGAAAGAGTGCGAAGTAAACACCCCAAACTTGTATATGTAAATTCAATATCCTGAACTTTAAATAAAGAGTTATGTTAGCACCATCAACATATAATTTTCACCATAAATTATACTTCGTATGACGGTAAATTTAAATTAATATATGATCATGGTGCTAAAATAATTTTTTTATGTAAAGTTTGAGATATTTAAATTACACATGCAAGTTTTGAGTATTTACCTATCACCCATTCATAGTTTGGAGTATTTGAATTATTCTTCCCTTTATTAAATGACATTTTCTAATAGATGTAAAAAAACATACTCTAATAGATGAATAACTATTTCAGTAAGTCATAAATTAAATTAAATTTATGGATGTACTCCAATAACTATAAAATAAAGTAATACCGAGTAACATAATAAGTTTAGTAACACTATCTTTACGGAGTACTCATATTTAATTACTTATATAAAAATTAACATATTAAAAAAAGTAATGTACGACTTTAGAGTTAAACATCTAATCTAAAGAACACAAATTTAGAGTTAAACATCTAATCTAAAGAACACAAAAAACGCCACGTATTGTACAAACCCAGTAACCAAACGATCAAGGCGATGTCTTCTTTCCTATTCAGCAGTAAATCACAAACTTGAATTTAGTCAATCGTCAAGTATGTCTTCCCGTTTGGCTTATTAGTTACTCTGTATTACGAAACGTGAATTTTAGATTCTTTAAAATTTACAACTTTAGGATGATGGACGGACTGCTGAGTTATTGGGGGCAACCGGTTTTCTCTATTGGGGGCAATTACTTACATTTTAATATTTATTAATAAATTACAAGGGATTAGTAAGGTTTTATTGGGGGCAGCTGCCCCCACAAGAGTGTTAGTAAATCCGCCCCTGACTGTCACAGTGAAAAGCAAAAATAAAAGACTTAAGGGCAAATATGGTAGACACGGAACATTAGGTCCTATTTAGGAGTTAAAATCATTTAACTCCTATTTAGGTATATATGATCTTTTTTAGTCCTAGATAGGACCATTTCTCTTCTTTTATTACTACGAAGTACAGCATGTATTAAGCTTCATCTATTAGCTTCTAACTCTTTCTCTTTGAAACCTTATAGTTTTATAAAAATATTCTACCACACCCACATTTCTTTTACTTTTATTTTGCATGTTTAGTTTTCAAATTCATAATATATATTTTTTACATATTCCAAAATTGACATGTTATTACATTTTCTGTTTAGTACAATAAACATAAAAAATGATCTATAACTATTTTCTCCATCTTCAAACATTGACATTTACTTCTTATCGATCATCTTATAAGAAGTTTATCAAGATTTTTTAAAGCGAGATGAATTTTAAGATAACTATTTATTTATTCTTTCACTACAAAAAAACACGGGCGTAGTCACGGATTTAGTCACGGACTGCAGTGTAAAATTCCGTGACTAAAAAGGTTAGTCACGGCCATCAGCCGTGACTAAATCCGTGTCTTAATTGGCGTGACTAAATGAAGTCACCGCCACGTAACCGTGACTAAATTTAGTCACGGGTTAGTCACGGTCCTTGACCGTGACTATTATCATGCCGGAAACCCCACTCCGACGTGTTAGTCCTTTCGATATCGGTGCCTTTCCGGGAGAAACTTGCGGTGACAATCAAAGTAACTTCCTTTTTTGCTGTAACTGAGCCAGTTGGCACCTGATTTCTCCATGCATATCGGACATTCCATCAGACCGTGTGTGCTCCATCCCGAAAGCATGCCATAGGCAGGGAAGTCGCTAATGGTCCAAATGATGGCAGCTTTCATGATAAACATTTTATCTCATGAAACATCATAAGTTGGTGTCCCAACGGCCCACAATTCTTTCATCTCCTCAATAAGGGGTTGAAGATAAATGTCTATCTTTCGCCCAGGATCCTTGGAACCCGGACAAATTAAAGACAAAAAGATGAAATGACTTTTCATGCACATGTCGGGAGGGAGATTGTAAGGTGTTAACATGACCGGCCAACATGAATAGTTCTTGCCAAACCTGCCAAAAGGAGCAAATCCCTCTGAGCACAATCCCAGCCGCACATTTCGTGGCTCCATAGCAAACTGAGGATGACAGCGGTCAAAGTGTCTCCAGGCTTCACAGTCCGAAGGGTGAGCCATCATACCCTCGTTGGTTTCGTGCTCAACATGCCATGTCATGTGTTTCGCAGTAGCAGTCGAAGCGTACATCCTTTGCAGTCGAGGAGCTATTGGGAGGTAATACAGTTTAGACAGTGTAGACCTATGTCGTGGTTTCTTTTTACCTTGACGAACAGGTTTGTATCTGTCTCCACCACAGAACTTGCAGAACTCAAGTGCCTCATCCTCCTTCCAGAACAACATACATCCTTCCGGGCACGCATCAATTTCAACACAAGGTAGCCCCAACTTAGACATTAACTGCTTCATGTGGTAAT